GTGGGGCCCGCCCCTTCCCCGCTGCCATTGCAGCACTGCTCAGGAGCCCCTAAACAGAGACACCCTTGTATCTTTCCCTAGCAGGTGAAAAGGAACATCTGTATAGCTTCAGGGCAGGCTTTCAGGTGCTGATATGTGGTATCTCTACAATCTCAAGTTTGAGGAATAGGAAACAACTTCAGCAGATGACACTCTTTAGATTGGTCAGTCCAGCTGAGTAAGCACCAGGTTTTCTCCAGACCCTGCTCTGATGCCCGTCCCCAACCCATCTGCATACCACCCATGAGCATACCAGGTTCTGGAAAATTCTCCCTCAACATTTTGTGTTAATTGCATAGAGTAGGTGCTTGATAATGGGCTTAAATTAATAAATGAACCCAGCGGTAATCCCCACAGAGGATCTGGCAACCTGCTCGCAGGTAAGCTGCAGTGTATCTCATTGGGAGTCCCTGGGAATGACAGGTTTGAGAGTTGGAGCAGAGAATTGTTTCCTCCAGTGAGACCCCTGCTGAGCCTACCCACTTTTCTGTTCTGCAGAGGCAGAGAAGCAAAGGCAGAAGGAATTGGAAATGCAGTTAGCAGAAGAACAAAGGCGCCTGATGGAAATGGCTGAAGAAGAACGGCTGGAGTACCAGCGGCAGAAACAGGAAGCAGAGGAGAAGGCTCGGCTGGAAGCGGAGGAGAGACAGCAAAAGGAAGAGGAAGCAGCAAGACTGGCTCTGGAGGAAGCCATGAAACAAGCCCAGGAACAAGCCAGGTACTCAGTAACTGGGCAGCAGTTGCCATGGGGAGATTGTTCAAGGGCTTGACTGCCTGCTGCTGGTACCAGCCTTGCACTGCCTTTGGACAAGTGACGTTTTCCCACTTCCCAAAAGCATGGTTTGGAAGAATTGAAAAACAGATTCTTTTGCTGCAAATGTCACAAAATTTCTTCCTGGTTTATATAACTCATATTGAACCCAGAAGGGAGTTAGAGTTCATCTATCTCAACCCTCTGGTTTACAGATGTGAAGGGTGAGCCCCAGAAAGAAGGATCTTGATCAGGGCTAACGGTGAGTTAGGGACAGTGTCAGGACCAGATCTAATACCCCCTGATTCTGCACCATTGCCTTTCTCAGTATTTATTCGGTACCTATTATGTGCCGAACACTATTCTGGACACTGGGAATTCAGAAGTAAGCAAGACAGATGTCTCTTCTCCCATGGGGTGGGGGTGTGGAGACAGACTCTAAGCAAATAAAAATAAAGTTTTTTTAAGCTGGCAGTGTTATTCAGAAAAATTTTAAAGATTGCAGGGGGCTAAGTTTAAATGCGTTGGCCAGGGCAAAACCTCTAAGAGGTGATATATAAGGTAAAACCTGAATGACAAAGAGTTAGCCACATAAACACTGGAAGAAAAATATCCCAGCAAGTAGATAATAAGTGTAAAGGTTCAAAGAAACAGATGAGGCCGGCATGGTGGAAGAATAAAATAAAGTCAGCATGGGTGGAATGAAGTGAACAAGGCACAAAGAATACTTCCAGACGAGGTCAGAGAGGTAGGCCTTGTTAGAAGAAAATGCACAGAATCAGCCATCAGGGGCCAACAGCATTTCCCCATTCATTATCTTACAACAGTAATGATCACTGTATTTTTCTGAATAGACTCTCTTGAGTAATGTGGTTTCAACTGACTCTTTAAAAACTTGGTCCTCTAGAAGCAACAGATGGTCATCCCTCTTTAGAACCATCAAAAGAAGCCCACACAGAAAACCATGTAACTTACATCTCAACTGTAAACAGTTTACCCCTTGAGATTTATTTTCTACAACTTAAGCTGATTCTAGGCTATTAAACACTCTTTAGGGGACCAGAAAAAGAAGCTAGAACAACTCTATTTCAAGGTTTTCCACCTAACCTTGAGTTGTTCTTCTCCTGGACGTTCCTCAACTGTCATGTGAATTACAATATAGATCATTAGGGAAGTCTTGATTCAATTTCAAAATTATGTATCCCATGTATCATAGCAGTAGGGCTGGGTTCATAAGTATTGAAACCAAAAGCTATTGAAGTCGCAATAGTCCACAAAATGAAAACTCCCAAGTAATATGAGAGGAAGTTGAGCAGGTTTTTTTTTTAACAGTAATCCAAATAGCTGAAAGCAGAAAACTAAGTAATTAAAGGGTTGTGTGAGGGGTAGAACTTCAGGGTTAGAATTTGATGCCAACCGGCTTGATTTCACCTTGACTTGTGTGACACTGGCCCAGGTACTTCAACTTCTCTGCCCTGTTCCCTCACCTCTAAAACAAAGGAGTCCCATCCAGCAATTCGAGTTTAAGAACTGTTACACCTTTTCTCTTACTCTTCCACTAGGAGGCTCATGATGCTCTAAACCTCATATATAAAGTTACTAAATGAACAGAGTATGATCTTCCACTAAAATGCAAGGTTAATTGTCCCCGAGCCTAACTGGTGATTACTCAAATCCAAAATCCTTCTACTAGTTTATAAGGACAATTTCTAGGATGTTTAATCAGTGTTGGGATTGTGGGTTTTGTTTTTCCTTAGGCGAAAAGATGCTTTGAAGAAACATCTTCACTTCCATCAAGAACTCCATAAGGAAGCCAATAGCCTGCAGTGGACGCAGAACATTTCCAGACCATGGGTCTACTCTTACTTCCAGTTCCTACAAATGCCCAGACCTTAAGACTAGAAGAAAACTAAAAAGTAAGTTGGGAGGTGGTGACAGAAAAAGAGAAACTTCCTTCTATAATGAGGTTTCATACTGAGCCCAGTTAGTCCCATTTCATCTGGCTCACCTCACACCACACCTAAGTTCACTCTGGGATCTCCATCCCCACCACACACACTTTACTCAACCCAATTAACCTCTTCACTCACCTAAATCATTTATGTTCTCTAGAACCACATAAATCCAGAAGCTTTGGTGCCTAAAGTTGGCCAATAATTTCAGTAAATTTCAGTTTAATTTAGCTAGACATTAACATAGTGTTAGGGTAATAAAAGTATTTCATTTCAGTCAATGTGTCTGAAAAAGTTGCATGTAAATGGAAATTCTGTAATGGAATAATTCTGAATTAGCTAAGAGCTAATTCATATATTCACATATTAAGAATTTTGCTGTAATCTATAAGGCAAAACCATCCATTTCACCCTAAGAATCTAAAATTTAATGTCTATTTAAAGTAAGGTGATCACTTGATAAATGTTCATTTGAGCAAAATGAGCTGTTCTGTAAGGGCTTTCTCATATCCTATAAGTATATATTAAGAGCTGCACTGTCCAATGAAGAGCCATGTAAAGCTATTTAAATGTAAGTTTTAAAATATTCAGTTCTCCAGTCACACTACCCACCTTTCAAGTGCTTTCAATAACCAGATGTGGCTAAGCTACCATATTGGACAGCACAGGTATAGAACTTTTTTTTTATCACCATAGCAAGTTCTGTTGGACAGCACTGTATTCTAGAGTCCTGAAAATTAACCAATCTTGAGGTTTTGCTCCTAACTGTGCCTTAAAGAACCAACCACTCATAATTTCTCCATTTTAAAAATCACACTATCAGGGAAGTCTTGAGTAGATAATTTGTCTTTAATATCTCTTTAACATCAGTAAGTATCTGATAAATATCTATCATAGAATGATCATTAAAGGGGGTGAAAGGGCTTTAGCAAACAAGATATATAAAAAGATATTAAAACAAGCAGTATCTGAATTTTCCCACAAATTTCCTTTGGCCCTACTCTGTACTTCACTGTCCACAGCTTAAAAGTCTAGTATTTGCAGATGATTCCCTCAAATTTCCCACTAATGCTTGTAAGGTATTTGCTTTCTACAGGAATTGCACTTCCATAATCCAGAGGTCAAGCTTAATTTTGATTCTGTACTGCTGTGTTATTGGACTTGCTTATATTTGATGCTTATTTTCAACTCCTTGCTTTACGTAAGACACAAATAAAATGGCCAAAATACTGGCTATCATAGTGAATTTAAATATGTCACAAACTTTTTCTCACACTTGTCAACCCTACTTGCACATTCATTCAGTTCATTCAATAACTTAATCAGATAAGAAAGAAGCATCTCAAATAATTCAACCAAGAGAAGAAAGAACACTCAAGGAAAACATCCTTGTGGGAGAAATTACCATTACTGATTTTATTTTCTCCCTTCTTGTACAAATTTAGGATGTTTCAGTCAAGCACCAGGTAGAGTGGCTACACTAAACGTTATTCAAATCCCTTTCAAAACTAATATTCTATTAAGTTGTTGCTGTGAAAGGCCTATTTTATCAACACTACTGACCAGATAAGCACATTTTTAAGTTAGCCATAGCAGAATGCAATGCATTTAGAAGAACCCAATAAATAAGAAAATTATAACCCCAGTAGCTAAGCTCCAACACCTAAATGCTGAGAGCCTTCAGACAGAGATGCAAACAAAATTAAGATACCAAACTACATATTCACACATTCTGGATAGCTCAAACAGCCTATCAGGTTTGTTACTCAGGCCTGACAGAAGTACGCAACTCAATGAGGACTTTCTAGAAATGGGCCTAATTCCTAGTCACCATTTAATATAATGAAAAATGCCAGGTGATGGTCTAAAAGCTCTAATTTACCTAGACTATATATATATAATACAAATAATTTTCTGGCTAGGGTCAAATATAAGAATTTATAAGGCAAGCCAATTACTTTTCAATAGGTGATTTAAGAAGGTACTCAGACTAACAGTTTATAAAATGCATTAGAGACAGGTATTATTTGTTCTCCTAAAGTAGTTAGATGACATTCTACTTGGGATAATATGAAACTGGATTATGTATATGCATAAACTGAATTTTGTGATTCATTAAGGAGTTAAAAGAAAAGGTAAGCCCTCTAATTAAGGAACTAATTTGGTATTTTAATTTTATGCAGTTTAAATAGAAGATATAAAGAAACAAAAGAAAATATAAACAAAATACCAAATCTTAACTAAGCAGAGAACATTTTGTAAATTGTTAAGGGAAAAACTGAAATTATCAGTATCAATCAAGAATTTTTGGCGTGCCCATTTATTCAACATGATTGGGTAACTGTATCATACGTATGCATCATACAGGAATATCAAGTTTCTTAAAAAAACAGAACACTGAGTATTTAAGAATGTATCGTGGCCTTAATTAAATCCTTAATGCAGAAGGCACTTCAGTAACTTTCAGTGCTTCAAAGTCATGACCATCATCATCACTGTACAGTACTGAAGAAAACATATGTACCATGTACAAACAATAATTTTCAGTATTATGCAAGAAAACCTTTTCTTTAGGCATTTTCTTTCCTTCTATACAATTAAAAATAAAATGAACATTAGTACAGTTTTTACAAATATTTTGTTTATTTTAATGAAGCCAGTACAGACAATGTCCATTTAAAACCCATATCCCAGGCCAAAAAGTACAAATAAAATCAAAAAGAGCAGTGTTCTGTTGTATACACTTCTGCATGAATAACTTTAACTGCTAACGAAAATTAGAACTTTTCTGGGATCTTCTGACAAGGCTTTTCTTTCATCTAAAAATGCTTTCTCTCCAGGGAAGCCATTTTGGAGTTAGTCATTATTCTCACCATTTCTGTCATCTTTACTCCAGCATGATATTCCTCTTCTTTTGGTCCAGACCCTCAGATTTTAAAAGTAGCTTCAAGTTAAGGAAAGGTAATTTTTCCACAGTTCAGTTCTCTGAAAAATTTCCATCTCCTACTGAAAGTCATAGTCCAGGAGTGAAGCAATCACATGCTAGAACTTCAGGGCCAATTGGAAAGTCATTATGAACACTCGCATTAGTTGATCTTATTTATCACAAGCCTGCAAATGCACAGTCCTGGAAAAGGTGGCCTCTCTGTGCACACATGTAATTTTTAAAAACGAGAGGGCAATATGAAGGGAGCTGAGGTTTGATCACCAAAAATCAGCACAATGAAAACAAACAATAATGAATATAATGGGCACTAGAATTCAAATTACCAGATGTTTTAAAGAGACGGGGTGCCAGTTTTCAATTGTTTTGAACACCACAATACAAAAGAACTATTTTTAAAAATAAAAAAGAATTAAGGGAAAAGAAAAAAAATAAAAAGAATATCTAAACCGTTGAATGACCCCCCGTTTGTTCCTGATAAACTTCAATCACATCTTCTTCCTCCATTCCCAGCTGTAAGAAGAGAGAAGAGGGTTAGTAGAATATAAAAGTATTATTTTTTAATTGGTTACAATTATGTGGCCAATGTGTTCAAATTCAAAAATATACAGAAGTGACCCAGTTATCCTGTTCTAAAATTAAGAATCCCATTTCCTTCAATCTAAAGGACAGAGAGGTATATCTTTCTTTTTGATAATGTCTGTGAAGTCATTCATGTTACTTTGCTGAGCCAATTTCACTTCCCCATTTATTCACCACAAAAAATTTAAGTATTTTTGAAAAGTACCTTAAAACAGTATGAAATATGTATTTAATAGCTGAAATAGTTTGATGGCATACTTTCTAAAAAGCATCTTACTTCTAGATGTAATTACATGACAGAATCACCTCTTTCAAAAAACCTAACCTCACTTTGAAATATGTGGTTCTAGTTAAAAAAATACTGCTTAAGGATTCATTTCTAAGTGGTTTACTTTGTCATCTACGATTCCTTCTGGCATGTAACTGTTATTTTCTTTGCTAGTGACCACTCTTAATGCAAAGTTACAACATAGCTAGTCTTATTTGACACCTTCAATTTTAAAAGCTAGATTTTTCAGGCCAACCCTTCTCAATTCTTACAGAAAAAAAAAGGTCCTTTAAAATGCCTTTTACAAAACATTAAGTATAGGTAATTATGGGGTTTCTTTAAAATGTGTTTTATATGCACTGAAATACTCTGGAATCTTTATCTTATAGACGTTATTAATAATGATTGCCTGAGAAATGGGAATTCAGAAATATCCACGGTGTGTTTATTTTCCTTTTTTTCAGTTTTTAAATTTTCCATTTTACATAATTTGGTAGTATGGTTTTTTAATATTTTTATTTTTAACCATGAGTATTCTTTATTTCAAAGATAAAGAAGTATATAAGGGGGCTTATGTCACATAGAAACCCAGGTGTTAACCTCAATGAGGCTTGTAAAGGACAAGGAATCTGTTGATTCCAGCATGCAGCCACAGTTAAGCAGCACTGTAATAGGCAGACTGGAAACAAAACCTAGCGTTGTTTCCACTTAACTATAATGGATCACAAGAACAAATGAAAAATAACATTTTAAAGGAAAGCCAAAGATCAGTAATATCTAATGAGAAAAGTTATATATTTTATAGTGAGTTCTTTGTAGAATTACAAAATGTGAAAATTAAAATATTCTAAGAAATCTAAAAATAAAATACAGACTTAGGTGGATTTAGAATTTTTTACATGATTAACTGGCTCTAGTATTATGGCTGTGATACACATAAGAACATTAAAATAATTATTAACTGAAGATGCTACTAAAATTTAATTTTAATTACACATATAGCCTGGTAAATACCACAAGGAATAAAATTCCAAACATTACAAGGAACCTTTATATCAGGAAGGAAGCACATGTCCTCAAACTATGGTTAATATAAAGCCATCAGCTTTAAGGAGCACTTTAACAGAGATGAGTGAACACAGTACAAAGAGGTCACTCCCTAAACACTTACTCTCTCCCACTGCCCCATTAGTCTTCTAAAAAGATAATCTCTTAATGATAGTGAGGGAGGTGTCATTAAAATGTATTAAGTATCTACTGTGTTGCAGAGATTATGCCAAGTTAGGACAGGGAAACTACAAAGTAAGTTTAGAATATTTTGTGCCAGACAGTAAGGAAATACTCAAGAAAGTGGGTGGATATTAAACCTATAAGGAAAAACTTTGATGAAAAAGAGGTTAGTCACGTAGTTTTAAAGTATGTGCCCACAAATTACTTAAGTATAACAACAACAACAACAAAAAATAGTAACTATACAGTAAAGAAAAAAAGACAACCATTTAACTGAGTGATAAAAATTAACATCACCAGTATGGGGCTTCAGGAACTCCATATATTACACCAAGAAAGACACATCACCATTTATGTAGTAGTCCAGCCAAAAATACACAATCTAGTCACGAGGAAACAGAACAATCCAAATCGAGGCACTTTCTGGTTTGTATTCTTCAAAAATGTAAATGTCATAAAAGACCAAGGCAGACTGAGGAACTATTCCAAATTACAGATAATTAAAGAGACACCTAAATAAAATACGTTGATACTGAACTGGATCCTGTGACGGATGGTAACTTTACAATGGATAAAAAATCTGGGGTTACTATCTTAACTAAGTGACCAAAGTTACTATTACCCATAGCGGGACAAATGGACATCATATAACTCCTGATGTGATGTACTCGGAATTTCACAGCTTCACTCTGTACTACTCCCACCAAAAATGCAAAACTGAATCTAACCATGAGGAAACAACAGACAAACCCCAATTGAAGGATACTGTAAAATGTAACTGGCCTGAATTCATTAGAAAAAAAATGTCAGTGTGATGAAAACAAAGACTGGGAAACTGTTCCACATTAACAGAAGCTAAGAGGCATGATAACTAGTTAGAATGCATACTCTTGATGGGATCCTTGGTCAAAGTAAAAAAAAAAAAAAAAAAAAAGGAGGGGGGAGCTTATAAAGGACCTTATTGAGACAAATGGCAAAATCTGACTATTTTTATTGTATATTCAATTACAATATTGTATCAATGTTAAATCTCCTAAATTAGGTAACTATGGCTCTTAGGAGATAACACTGAAATATTCAGAAGTAAAGGGTCACATCAACTGCAAATTAATCTCAAATAGTCCATCAATAATGATAGTATGTATATACAGAGTGTGTGCCTTATGCCAATTTCAGTACTCAATTCCCACTTCCCACCTCTCTTTTTATTGGGATTTCTGAAGGCAAAATAAGGGAAGTTCAACCCAAAGATTATTGTTCTCTCTGACAAATGATACACCACTGAAATCAGAGAATAATCAAGAAAGGGGCAGTTTAATACCAGTGACGCAAATCATTCAATGCAGAATTTAAAATTTGTCCTGATTCAGAGAAGAAATTATACTCACTTCTTTTGGAGTGTGATTATCAGCAATTCTCTGACCTTCAAAGAGAAACCTGAGTGAATTCATTGGAACGCCCTAAAAAAGTAGAAAACATACAAATATACAAATCTTAGAAGAGATCATAGGAACTTTGATGTACAAAAAGAAAATATGAAAGCTTCAACAGAATACACAGAATATAAAACTAGATAGCTGATTCTATCATAATCACCATTTATTGAGTACCAACTATCTGTTAGGCACTCTCTACATCAAGTCTTTTATATACATAATCATAAATTTTCATCACAACAACCCTGGAAGGCAGGTATATCACCCTATCTTCCTTTCACAGCTAGGGAATCTAAACATACAGAGAGGGCACACAAGATAGTCAAGAATTTAAGGCCAAATCTGCTCCCAAGTCTATGCATTCTTAACCACTATTCTATACAGCTTCCTCTCAAATCTGTAGCTAACACAAAGATAAAATCAGGTATTAGATGAGCAGCCTCACTAGCTTCTAACTATAAAGCAAAATTGGTTTTAAAAGATTAAATCATAGAAATTGGGTAAATCATAGTAACTAGCCAGATAAGCTACAGTAAATCTGTGATGGCACAGATAGCACGATAAATATCACAAGTAGTATTAAAATATTTTTTCTAATCACTTACCCACAAAAATAGCTAAAAGGGAACAGAAGACTCATTTAAATAACTTCACTAGTAAGTACAAATCAAGACGCATTTTAGTCCAAAAGTACTAATTTTGCTCAATAACTAATATATTAAGATTTTAACTGTGTTTAAATACTATTCCAAAAACATCCAAAACTTAAAATCTATCTTCCAATATGTACTATATACTTAAATATGTTAAGAGCATGCACACATACCCTACATTTGATTTTAAATCATTTCCAGGGTTATATTAAATAATAAACTTAACTGACAAAGGCAGAATATTCTTTGATTTTAATTACAGGATCTTTCAAAAAAGAAGTATCTTACATTGGAGTCAAAAAAGTTTCTATAGAAACCAAGTATCAAAATGGGAAAATGGTTAAAATCAAATAACATCAAGTGGAAAATATCAAATATGAAAAATAATATCAAAATGGAAAAATGATTCAGTATCTCTGTATTGGATAAGTGTTCCATACTTCAGATAAATTAAGTTTTCTATTCCTTGTACAGCAATATAAGGAAAACATTACCAAGCCTCCATGGACTAAGTATAGAAACTTTTTCTACAGACTGTAAACTCTGAATTATAAAAAAGAAAGCTGGAGAGGGAGAGGGCATAGCTCAGTGGTAAAGTGCATGCTTAGCATGCATAAGGCCCTGGGTTCAATCACAGTACCTCCATTAAAAATAAATAAATAAATAAACCTAATTACCTGTCCCTACCTCCAGAAAAAAGTCTAAAAAAAAAAAGTTGGAAATGATTCTAACTTGATGCTATATTATCTCCCCAAACCTAGTACCTTCAATTTTGGATAAGTTTGGTTTTCACTTTGGCACCGTTTCTTCTCGATAATCAACTCCCTCATCTATAGACAGAGTAAAAAGACTATACAGTTTTCTTCAGGGTTGTTGTGAGAAGTAAATGACAATGTATCTAAGTACTTACTAGCATAGTGCACTTACTTAATATATGCTCATTTCCCCTGGTGAGCATTTCAATTTTAGCTCCCATCAATATTACAAATGTCAGCTGGTTGAGCCCCAATTAACAAGACTTTACTGAGTTTAACAATTAACATCAAAAACAGAAACAAATGTTTATTGTTTTACTTATCCTAATACTTAGATCTCTTTTTCTCCTGGCAAAAGTGGCAAAAGTGAGTTTACGTAAGTTACAAATATCAACTGTAGAAAGCAAATCTTCTAAAACTAAAACTTACAATACCTGAATTAATATTAATACAATTAACTTGTTAAAACATATTTTAGTTGTCTCCTATATATACTAATTTCAATTACATTTATTTAAATCTAATTTATTAGTAATAATAAAATTGGTAACATCTGTTGAGCATTTTTAGGCATCACGTTAAGAGCTTTATGGAGGTCATCTTATTTCATCTGCATTTTACTAAGGAGGAAAGAAAACACATAACTTGTTCAAGGTCCCACAGTCAGATAGTGGTGGAGCCTGAATTTGAATCCAGGCAGGCTAAAGGAATTAGTTATTGATCTAATAATCTAGCTCAGGAAAGTCAGAATCTGAAGACGGTATTAGTCAGACTTCTTTATTGTTTTTTTTTTTTAAAAAGAGAAAATTCCTTAATGCTAAAAATACAGAATGCAATCAGCAGTAATCTGCAGTACTATGTATAAAGATACTGAACCAATAATGTAAGTACTTAAATTTAACATATAGCTAAACACCCATGGTTAGAAACAGGAAATTTCATAGTGATCACCAAAAATTACTTGTCTTTACTGTTACCACATCAGTAAGTCATTAAGAAAGAAACATTCATAAAGCAATCTTTACAACTACTCTGAGTTACTTTTCAAACTAGTTCCACATACTCTATGAATTCAAAATTGAAATGGGCCTCAAGGGGAAAAAGGCAATTAAACAATATAAGGAGTATTCTCCTTGAGCTGCTAATAGTGAAAAATAATAAAAGATTACTTTTCTTTTGACAAACTTCCTTAAAAGAAAAATTAATGATATATAAAGTACTGAATTTAATACCATAACATACAAACCTGTCTTTGACAGTATGATTCTTTGAGTTTCTTGAGATGTGTCGTCATTTTCACTTTGAAGTGAATCTCACTGCTATCCTAAGGAGATAAGAGGGAAAAAGTTATCACTCCTTGTGTAAACTATTTGCTTTGCTTGAAACAAATTATTTAATTACACATACATTACAAATAGAAACATACATCTTGTCACTGGTATTTTCCCACCAAAACATTTTTTTTCACATTCCTAACGGCTTTTATTAAAATAATCATCCTCAAAACTGTTTTATACCTATTTCAAAATAAATTTAATAAAACAAACGAAGACAATTTTGGGTGGCTTGGGTGTTAAAATTAACAGTGTAAGTAAAAGGATGTATGTCAAAGAATACATTCCTTCGGAATTGCATGTCTATTCTATTTTCAAAATAAAAGAAGGTGAACTGTCACAAACCTCCAATGAAAACTCAAAACAAAAAGTACCCCCCACAACTGAAGTGTCATTGAAGGTGGTCAAACCTACAAGAGAGACATATACCATAAAATAACAGACTGAGACACTAATTCCTGACTTTTTTTATGTCACAACCACAGAGCCTGGTTTCCCCTGCATGAGTAAAATGAGTAATAACCTGAGTCAGTTAATTGATATTTGGAGCCACAGATAATTTTCATCTACCCAGACTGTCAAGGAAACTATCAGTCAACCATCAGAAAAAAAAAAATACTGACACTTGCACACTGTAAAAATTTCAAAGCCAATCCTTATATATCACATTCACAAATGTGTATTAGTGGAAGTGGTAAGTTCACAATGTTTCTGTTTATGACTATAATAGTTTAAAAAAAATTCTTATTCTGTGGATTATTTCACAGACAAAATTTCTAGAGCAATATGTCTGCTATAAGTTAAAATCACTTCCAGATGAATTAAAGAGCTAACATTTTTAAATGTTTTATTTTAATATTTTTTCTTCTTCTTAGGGAGAGAACTTTTTCCCTAATCTTGACATTGGGAAATTCTTATTTTAAAGCAAGATTTTAATTTAAAAACCACTTAAAAAAAGAGACTGATAAATCTGACTTAATAAAAATACAAACCATCTATACGGTAAGAAACACCACAAACAAGTTAAGAGACCTTGAAGAAAATAGTCACTATATATAACACACAAGATAAATCAAGAAAATATAAAGAACTCCTACAAATCAATCATTCTTAAAAAGGTAATCCATGGCATAGGAAAGACATATACAGGCATAACCCATCTTATTGTGATCTGCGTTATTGCACTTTGTAGATTTGTTTGTTTGCTTTTTAACAAGTTGAACATTTGTGACAAACCTGCTTCAAGGAAGTCTATTGGCACCATTTTTCCAACAGCATTTGCTCCTTGTCACATTTTCATAATCCTCACAATATTTCAAACCCTCCACCAGCAAAAGGACTCACTGAAGGCTCAGATGATGGTTAGCATTTTTTTTACCAATAAAGTATTTTTTTAATTAAGGTACATACATTGGTTTTATTAGACATACCACTACTGTACACTTAACAGACCATATCACAATGTAAAACAACTTTCATGTGCACTGGGAAACAAAAAAAATTCATGTGACTCATTTTATTGCAATGGTCTGGACCCAAACCTACAGTATCTCTGAGGAATGCCTACAGATTAATGGAATAAAATTGAGAGCCCAGAAATAAACCCATATTTCTATGGTCATTTTCTTTTGACAAAGATGCCAAGCAATTCAATGGGAATAGGACAGACTTTTCAACCAGTTGTCTGGGAAAAACAGACAGCCACATGCAAAAGAAGTTAGAATCTACCTCAGACCTACATAAAAAGTATACAAGAAGTACTCAAAATGATCAGAGACTTAATGTAAGAACTAAAGCCATAAAAACCTTAGAAGAATGTATAGATGTAAATCTTTGTGACTCTGGATTAGTTAACAGTTTCTTAGACATGATATCAAAATTATAGCAACAACAACAAAAAATAGATAAACTCATCGAAATTAAGAACTGTACCGCAAAGGACACAACCAAGAAAGTGAAAAGACAACCCAAAGAAGGGAGAAAACATTTGCAAACCATCTATCTGATAATGAGCTAATATCCGAAATATATAAAGAGGGGTGGGGGTATAGCTCAGTGGTAGAGCACGTGCTTAACATGCATGAGGTCCTGAGTTCAATCCCCAGTACCTCCATTAAAAAAAAAGAGGTGAAAACAAAATATATAAAGTTATTACAACTCAAAAATAAAGACAAATAATCCAATCTAAAAATGGGGAAAAGATCTAAATAGACATTTCTCCAAAGAAGATGTACAAATGGCCAATAAGAACATAAAAAGATACTCATGATTAGCTAAATGCAAATCAAAAACCCAATGAGATACCACTTCACACTCACTAGGATGACTATAAAAAGAGAGCAATAATAGCAAATACTGACCAGAATGTAGAGAAACAAATCTTCACACATTGTCAGTAGGAAAGTAAAATGGTGTAGCCACTGCTAAAAACAGTTTGGTGACTCCTCAAAAAGTTAAACAAAGCTACTGTTATATCAGACCCAACAATTTCACTCATAGATACATAGAGAACTGAAAACAATGCCACACAGAACTTGTAATGAATGTTCATAGCAACATTTTTCATAACAGGCAAAATATGAAAACAAACCCAAATGTCTACTAGCTGATGAATGGATAACAAACTTAGTATACCCATACAAAGACATGTTATTCAGCTATAAAAACGAATGGACTACTGAAATATGCTACAACTTGGATGAACCTTGAAAATAAGCTAAATGAAAGAAGCCAGACATAAATGGTCACATATCATACAATTCCATTTATATGAAATGTCTAGAATAGGCAAATCCATAAACACGGAAAGTAAGATTAGTGGCTGCTAGAGGCTGAGGGAGAGGAAGATAGGGAGTTATTGGTAACAAATACAGCATGTCTTTTTTGGGGTGATGAAAGCAGTCTGAAATTAAATATTTGGGAATGAATGGTTACACAGCCTTGTGAATATTCTAAAGCCATTGAATTATACATTTTAAAATGATTAATTTTATGGTATGTGAATTATACCTTAATAAAAACTTTCAAAATAAGATGATCACAGAAACTGGGAAAAGGATATAACACATGATTAATAGAATATAAGCGTAATAGACAAAAAAATTACACCTCATTGATAATCAGAGAAATGTAAACAAAAGTTTTTAGCTATTATATTGGCCCAAAATTGAAAGACTGATAATATCCCATGTTTCAGAGAATGTGGGGAAACAGTAATCTCACTTTGATGGTGAGAGTCCATCAATTTTTTCTTTTGTCCCTTTAAAAACAACTATGAAGATTCATTTCTCCAACAATTTTCAGCTAACCTCAATTATCTGTTAACATCTCAAGAAGGGTCAATAAGATACAAGCCAGAGTCTGGGGAAATAAGGTGTCGAGAAAGAGGGTCGTGGAAAAGCCTGAAAGGCCCTTCTGTTTAAGAGCTATAGCTTTATCACTCAATAGTAGTCACTGTATTTACCACTGAAGCATGCTAACCAAGAAAAAGGTTTTATTTGGAGAAAATAAGGTGATCTAAATCTGCCTAGCAGATCAGTTAAAGAAAACAGTATCTGACTTTTCTACCTCCAACACACTCATATATAGTAAATGAAATACCATTTTTAAATAACTTGCCTTACTTAAATCATTTTTTCCTGTGTGTCAGAAATTACTCACATTCCAGAGTTAGAGGGAAAAAAATTAAGCTCACCTGTCCGATGACTTTGAGTTTAATGTATTCTCCTTCTTTCTTATCCCCCAAGTCCTCAGTTGAAGGTTTTGCCTCCTGAAAGAAAAGTACATATAAAGGTAAAAGTTCTACATGCTATTTAATTACTCACTTATGAGTACCCATTACTTTCATTCGGGATACAAAATTTGCACCTGAAAATACAGCGAGCATTTCTTTTCTCTGCTAGCCAATTAAGAAAAAAGGTCGTAAATCAATTACTGTCCCAAACACCAGATCACTAAAAATCAAGAAAGAAGTCTCTTTTATGATAATCATACATATAATGGTTCTAAAACTTTACCGGGCATCAGAATCACCTGAAGTACTTGTTAAAAGACTGCCAGGCCTCATACCCAGTTTTTTGTTCTTTTCAGTCTGGGGTAGGGCTGTAATATGCATTTCTAACTTGTTACCAGGGTGCTAACGCTGCTGGACAGAGGAACAACTTGGAAGCCATTAACCTACAGTTAACTCCTATTAGTCAAAGGCAGCTTGTCCTTCATGAATTCTTAACCAAACATTTTGAATCCAAGATTACTTTTTCACAGCCTATTGGGGGAAGTTAACTATTCCAATTACAAAACAGTACTAAGAAATATAAACTAATCATAGTAACATAAACAAAGTCTATTTAGGAAAGAAAATCAAATAGAAAAGTACTGGCCTAAACAACCCAATCCAAAAATGGGCAGAAGACCTAAACAAGCAATTCTCCAAGGAAGACATACAAATGATCAATAGGCACGTGAAAAAATGCTCAATATCACTAATTATCAGAGAAATGAGATATCACCTCACACCAGTTAGAATGGCCATCATTCAAAACTCCACAAATGACAAATGCTGGAGAGGCTGTGGAGAAAAGGGAACCCTCCTACACTGCTGGTGGGAATGCAGTTTGGTGCAGCCACTGTGGAAAACAGTATGAAGATTCCTCAAAAGACTAGGAATAGACTTACCATATGACCCAGGAATCTCGATCCTGGGCATGTATCTAGAAGGAACCCTACTTCAAAATGACACCTGCACCCCAATGTTCATAGCAGCACTATTTACAATAGCCAAAACATGGAAATAGCCTAATGTCCATCCACAGATGACTGGATAAAGAAGATGTGGTATATTTATACAATGGAATACTGTACAGCCATAAAAACCGACAACACACCACCATTTGCAGCAACATACATGTTCCTGGAAAATGTCATTCTTAGTGAACTAAGCTAGAAAGAGAAAGAAAAATACCATTTAAGATCACTCATAGGTGGAATCTTAAAAAAAAAAAATACAAAACAGAAACAGACTCATAGACACAGAATACAAACTTGTGGTTGCCAGGGGGACAGGGGGTGGGAAGGGACTGGGATTTCAAAATGTAGAAGAGATAAACTAGATTGTACTGTGTAGCACAGGGAAATATATACAGGCTCTTGTAGTGGCTCACAGCAAAAGAGAATGTGACAATGAATGCATATATGTTCATATATAACTGAAAAATTGTGCTCTACACTGGAATTTGACACAACATTGTAAAATGACTATAACTCAATAAAAAAAGTTTATATATAAAATAAAATAAAATAAAATAATTGGACTAATTTTTGCAGAAAGAAAGAAAGAAAGAAAAGTACTGGCCTAACATACTCTTGAATCAAAACAAGTCAGTTTTATATTATCTACTATTTTAGACTATCTGAAGCAGTATGTCCAATTTTAAAAGATTAGGCTTGGCTGAAAAAGTAGGGGAGTTAAACTGGAATAAGAAAAGAAGCACAAACAAGGCAAGTAGTAAAAGGAAAAGAGGAGACAAAATTAGAAGACAGAAGAAAAGAGTATAACCCTCTTACAAATTATAAAATAATAAATTATACAATAATTTTAAATAAAGGGATACTGAAAAGAAAATGAAGTTAGAATAAACTAGTTGAAACAACATCGCCATGAAGTATCTAAGAAAAGTAAAGCATTTTTAGTAAAGGGGGTAGCTTTGGTAAATTTCACTCACTAGTGTGATAAAAGCAGCTTTCCCTGCACTTTACCTTGGTCTGGCCACCATATTATCCACTTATTTAAATACATACTCTTTTATTATTTGTAGCAATTTCAAACTGCTAATCCACACTTGATGAGAATATAACCAACTATACTGTATTTCAGAAATAAAACAACAAGGTCCTCACCTGTTTATCTCATGCCAGTAACTTAAAACTAACAAACTCTTAAACATTCAAAATTTAACAGAACATAAGAAGTAGCTTTTAACTTTAAGACACAGGCTAGAGTCCAGGGAAATGCTTAGATAACAGAATTGACTTCATTAGTGTGAATCCTTGCCTGTTTATCATTCTGCAGTGTTCAACATTTGCTGACTACTGCATATTATGGCAGCAGGCAAAATTAACCTTCTTTAGTGAGACAGTATTTCACCTGAAAACTAGAAGACTGTCTTCAAACACAGTTTCACCACATTTCTATGAATTTACATTCAGAGCAAACAGCTGCTTCTTCCTTTAAGTATCTAGAGAGGGCAAGGACAGCTTATTCCATGCAGTGAAGGGTAATAAAGAGCAAAAAAGCCCTGAGTCCTCTTTAACTGAGAAGAGGTGTGAAGAAGCTTTCTTTGAGTTAGCACAACGGAAGAGAATATAACCCTCCAGCAGGAGCAGCAATACATCAGCACAGTGGAAGTGATTTTGCTCCAGTGTTTCCTAGACAGGGTAGCAATAGAGGCAGCTCAGAACAAAAGGGTTCTTTTCCAACCCATCATCCACACTGCTTCAGAACTCTTTCTAAAGCACAGTTTCTCTGACTGTATAACTACCCCTACCAAAAAACATTACTAGCTTCCAGTACTCTAAGGCCTAGAACCAAACTCCACAACATCACATTTGGTTCCTCATTACCAAGCTCTATTCTCATTTTTCTCTCACCATTTTCTTTACAAACCCAAGGATTCAATAAAATTGGATTATGTGCTGTTCCACGAATGTCTATAAACGTTCTTCCACTTTCAGCCCTTTGTTGTTCCTGCTTCACTTACCTATAATACATACCCTCCCTCAACTTCTCTTGAAACCATCTCACATTAATCCATCCCATACATCATCTGAAGTACAGTACTAAAAAAACTCTTCTAGGAACCACAGCATCCTTCAACATTCCTACTGGGATTAAAACTTTCCTTTAATGCTCCTATTTACAATTTATTCATATCTTTCACGGCATTTATTCTCAATTTTAAAACACTCCCCTTTACTGTTTTCTTGAGTTGTTGTCCTCATCTTTTTCCTCAAACTTCTTACAAGTACTCAGCATTTGCTATTTCCACTTTCACCCTCAACTGCTGTAATCTGGTTTATACCCCACCATTCCCACTTGACTTGACACTTCTCTCGCAAAAGTTACCAGTTCAAATCCTTATTGCTAAACCCAATGGACAATTTCAAGTCTCATTTTTAACTTTTCCAACACAATAGATATTGATGACTTCTTCCTTGAAAACTCTCCACCTCTGGTCTCCAAGATTCCACTGCCTCCTCATCTTGGCCGTTTCCTTATATGGTAGTGCTCCTCTAGATTCCTTGTCTTCAGTCCTCTTCTTTTTCTTTGTCTTCCTGGGTGACCCATGGGTACCTCAATTTAAGTGTCCAAAACTCAATGCATTATCTCTGACTCCTGTTAGCTTTAACTCTTCTTCCTGAACACCAAAATCCAAAAAAACTGTAACTCCTCCTGGATTCCCATTTACAATAAATGGTTACCATGCACTCAACAGCCCACCACAGAAATTAAGCAGTCACCTTGGCTAATCTTCCTCTCTTAAATCTCACACTTAATCATTCATCATTCTGTCAATTTTATCTCTTAGTGACTCTCATTCTCTCCATTCCACTGCCTTAGTTCAGGCACTCACTGCTGTTCATTAACATTACTGCAACAGCCTAACAGATGCCCCAAGTCTAGCTTTCTTTCAATTAATCCTTCCCAACTACAACCAGAGCCATCTCTCTAAAATGCAAGCTGATCTGCCCAGAAATTTCAGGGTTAAGCTCAAACTCCTTAGCTGACATACACTGGTCTTCCATGTGTTGGTCTCTGCCTAGCAATTCAGGCTTATTCTTCCGTCTCTCTATTTTTCTGTCTCTCTTATTAATATCCTTTGCTCCAGCCATACTGAACTATCTACAATTCCTTAAACATGGCACCCTCTACCTTAACTCCACAATCCCTGTACATGTTAATCACCTCTGCTTCATATGCCCTTTCCTACCCTATTCCCCTTTCAAGACCACTCAGGCATCACTTTCTACAAAATGATTTCCCTGATCACTCTCTTAATTAAATGTTCCCACACTGCTTAACTTACTATAACCACATGTTTGCTTATCTGCATCTCCCACCAGATTAAGTTCCTTATTGCCATGTCTTACTCTTCGTATTTCTGGTCAAGCAGAATGTCTGGTACTTTGAAGATATTCAATATGCTAGTTAAATAAATTAATATTTTCAGTGACAATTGGTATGTCTTGCCTTCCCTATTAGTTTACAAAGAATGATTATTAAAGTTTTTATCTTTATAATCTCTATTGTGTCAGGCAAATACCAGGCAATTACTTAATGCTTGCTGAATTAAGTTGACAGCATTATTTTCTGTATCATACCACAAAATTTTGCTAACGCTTCATACTTCTACTGTACACAATAGTCAGTCCAAACAAAAATCTTTTCAGTGTTTTACATTCACAGTTGGGAATAAGATAATTTGTTTCAATTTCGTAAGAACACGTGAACACTAGGACTTGAAATTTCCAAAATCAAGCTGCCATCTTCCCTAGTCACTCCATTTTGGTGATGTCTTCCCAACTCTGAAGCACTAGAGCAATGTCACATGTACCCACTTGTTTAATAGCTTCATGCTTGCCTAATGCAGTCATCTAACTTTTCATGAGCTGCCTTTTTTTCCCTGGACAAACTAGCCTGGAAAATGAGAAG